ATCGAATGCACGACTTAAAGATTCTTCATCTTCACTTTTATTTTTTTTATCAAATCGTACAATATACCAGCGCAATTCACTCACATACATATTTAATCGACGTAAGGCTCTTTCTTTTACTATATGAAATATTCGTTATCCATTGGTTATCCATGTTTCATCTTTTCAAGTTCCAATAATAGAAACTTTATTTCATTCGTTTCACGAATCAGCATATAGCGTTTATTTAATTTTTTTTTGTTTTTTTGTCGTAATACAGTTAAATAATTTATAACAAAATTAGATAATGTCTCACTGTAATGTTCATTGCACAAAAATGTCGTCTATTCAATAGAAATCTCCATCATAAACATCAAGATAGATAATTATTGATTTAATCTTTTTAAATTGTAATGATTTGTTTTTATATGTTTTGATATAACATCTTGTTATCCATAATTTGAACATGAACTAAATGATCTTCTATACGATTCTTGGAACTATGTTGATTAGGGATTTTTATTAAAGTATACTAAATATCTATAACAACTCAACTTTAATTATCTACAAATTAATTAACTATTGTTGTTCATATAGTTTTATTATAAGCAGAGTACGATGATTACTTTCCAGGTCCAATAAAACGGCGTTGTGAACGGCCTGAAACGGCGATTAACGATGTAAAACGTCGATAAACGGCATCGTAATCCGTCATACCAGATTACGGAAGCAAAACCGGAAAAAAACGACCGCCGTTTTCTAGCGATAGACGGTGGTCGTAATACGGTATGATGGATTACGGCGAAATAAGGCCAAAATTACTGCAGTAATTCGCCGTTTTATAGTCGTTTTTAGGCCGGATACGACGCCGTTTCCGACGGCCGGAATGATCCACCTGGGTTATGGTTAATTGGTATGAACTTGGTATTAAACTTGTGATAGAATTCAATAAAGAAGATTAACAAGATTCACCAATATGATAATTTGCACAACCTCCATAATGCATTCCTATTGTTATTTATACCTTTTTTTCATCATCAAGTTCAATTATACTCTTCGATCATTTAATTCATTCCTATTGAAATAAAAGTCAAATTAATCTTTTTTTTTTTTGTATTTAGGAAAATTTTTTCTGTCATTGATTATGTACTACTCTTTTTGCTGTACATAATTTGATAACAAGAGAATTTCTATTTAATGAACAACATCTAAGGATACAATTATCTTCGAAAGACTTTTGATTGAAATGAAAAGATACTGAAGAGGATAAATAAAGTTTTAGTTTTATTTGTATTATGTATGCGTGTACTGATCTATATTCATAACTAAGTTGTCTTTGATCATTTGCAATATTAAAAATAATCTTTATTTTACTTTGTTAGGTAGAAAGAATAAATTTTTGACATTCTTTTCTTTAATTTAGCATGGATTAAAATTTTTCTATTGTATTAAAATGTATCACTTCTATTAGTTCGAGGTCAGTTTAGTTTTATTCAAACAATGATCATGGAATTAAAACATCTTTTTCACATTTTGACACTTAACACACATTTATTTAAATGCCCTTTTACTAGAGGTTTACTATTCAATTATTTCAACGATAGCTCATATAATAGTTCACATTTTATTGCTTATATTTAACAACTTCCCTAAACCCAGGAAGCTCATTTTTTATCATCGTCGTTTTTTAGATTGTATTAAATTCTTAAATGGCAAATTTTCATCAACCACCTATTGAACCTATTTCGGCATATATTGTAAATTTGTTTCATGGTTATAAACCACCAAGAAACGGTAAGATTTTTGCTGTTTTTTTTTTGCTCCGCTACGAATGCCAGTTAAATAATACTAGTCGATAAAATAGATCAAAATGAAAAAAGGAGCAAGTTTGCAAATTTTCGATAATATGTCTAAGGAACTTGTCATAAGTGTTCTCGAATCCGAATAGGTTTTTAGAATTTGTCTCTTTTTTTATGCTAGTTATCTCAAACGGTACATTAAAAATCTTACAAGAATATGCGAATATATTTTCTTTCTATAATCAAAAAATCTAAGTTTTTTTTATTGTTTAGATACTACTGGTCTTTATGTTTGTTTAAATTGTGATCATTATATTCCTAGTGCGAACAAAACAGATTGGCTTCAACATACTCATGATGTTCATAAAGGTGAATTTGATAAATTAGAAGAAATTTAGCGTATGTTGACTAATGCTTGTCGTCGAATTAAAGCTGATGATGATGTGGTAATATAAATTTAAATAATTTACATATTTCAATTATTTCTTTAGCAGAAAACAATCATTAAAACATAATCATCATCATTTAAGCTCGTGGAAGAAGAAGAAATGACGTCAACAAAACGGGTATAATATAACATGACAGCAGAATTTTCATATCTAATATTAGGAATTGATTGAAAAATAATTTTTTTCTATGTTTCGCATTGTTTAATATCTTAATATAATCGGACCAGAAGCTAATTATTAGTTAAAACTCAATAGTAAGGGTTATATCAGTCTGATTCCTCGCCTTGTCTTGTGATTACCTCTAGCTTCCAAATACTTAACTCTAATGTTAAATCTTAAGATAAAAATTCTCGTTAGATCTCATTTCGACAAAACTCTGTTTCTTACGTTTATTAAAAGTTCGAGCTATTGATATATTTATTAGTTGCCTATGACGTATAAATGAAAAAATGAATATCATTTTCAACGTAAAATTTGCTTTTTTAGTGATAGCAAATTAAAGAATACGAAAATTTTATAATGACTAATCTTGCTGCACTCATTTCTTCTTCAATTCAGACGAAAACAAGAAAAAAAGAATCAATCAACTTGTGGCTAAGTTCGCATAGTCGGTTATGATATATTGACCGACTATTGCTCTGTTCTATCGTGTTTTCAATCAATGAAAGGACAATTGAAGAATAAATTTCACGTTTTGGAGTCAAAACAGACCAATTAATTCAAAGTGACTGAAAAAAAAATGATTGACCTTTTTGCATAGCAACGCGAATTATATTGGTTAACTCACTTTGAATTAAGGCAGTCTGTTTGGAGCGTTATTCATGTATATATATTCGTCTATGATTGTATTCTTTTCTCATTTTATTGTTCAGTCGTATCCTCACTCTCTTTCTAACAATTCCTTTTGTTATAAGAAAAATGGCTGAGAAAGTAGTGGTAAGTGCACTAAAACAAAAAACTTTCATTTTAAAAGACGTCTTATGACTTAACGGATCAAAGATTTTAAGTAGTCAGTTTTTCCTTTTTTTTTCAAAGTCATCATTCAATACAATCATGTAAAATGTAATATATCATTTTCCTTTATTATGTAACTTTCAACCTGTATTTGCCTATACTCTACTGCCTAAGTGTTGTGTTTTAAATATTTTATAAAAAGAAATGGGTATGAATACAACATTTTTTTAACATTATTTTTTTTCACTTCTAGGAAGCTGAACAAACAGCTGCACAATTGGTCCAATTAGCTGATCAATATATAAATGGTTCATTAAAAACTGCTACTGATTATCTTGATGAAGTAAAAAAAGTTATTGGACAAGCTAAACAATGAACAGATGGTCATTGATCGTGATATAATGACATTAAATTCTTTTCATTTATTCTTGTGTTTACTTTTGTTATGTATGAACTTATTTTGGAGAAAAAAAGACTAAATTTTAACTCAAGGTATATAAATATATCTTTTTCATATAGTAAAGCAATCAAACTTGGCATCAAAAAGTAAAATGAAAAATGTTCTGTTTTGTTCCTCCAATAGTTTAACTGCTACCGTTATGTGATCAATACTTGAGACTATTTGCTTAACTATAAAATAAATAGGAAAATGGTTTCAGAATTATTCAGGAGAAAAAGAAATTTGTAACGGAATAGTTTTATGATAAAATGTGTAGCCATTTCTTTGTTTAATGTTCGGAATTGATTTGAAATAATTTTCAAAAGCATAAAAAATAAGAAAAATAAATATACAATAAGCACTTTTGTTTCTCGTATACATTCATCAATATGCTTAATTGTGTTTGATTAAATAAATATCTGATCTTAATTGCTATTGAATCAAGACGAAAAACACGAGATTAAAATTCGAGTTTGGTTTAATAATTTTTTTTTTATTAATGTTAATACAAAATAATCTATTTTTTGTTTATAAAATTCATAAGGGTGTGGGTGTGGGTGTGGGTGTGGATAGTGTGGGTGCTTGGAAGACGATGTCCTCAGTACCAACGCACACCCACACTCATGCAGCACTAACGATGCCATCTTTGTCTTTCACACAACCACTGTTCTTAGTTTATTTCGATTCTATAATAAAAAAAAACGCAAAAGTTGGAAAATATGTTTCATCGCATGTTAAAGTATGTCAAAAACGAAATATCACTTACTCTACGCAGCATTTTATTATTGTCGCTTTATCTATGGTTTGAAAATTGTTTGGGCTTTCATATTGTCTTCTGACATGATCAATCAAATCCTTCATTTGTTGTTCGTTTATATTTTTTTCTGATAATTCTGTCCATAATCGATTTTCTATTAGATAAATCCAATCTTCTGCTTTAATACTGTTTGGAGGATATTCAAATGTAAATGTTTCTTGCTGAATTTGCTTAAAACCTGCGTGTTTTAATTCATCAAACAATGTTTCAACTTTTAAATTTCCAAATAAACTTTTTGTACATTCGTCAAATGGACTAATTTGAGCTGTATGTAAACGCCGAATTATCAATAGTTTACCTTTAGTGGGTGCAAGTTGTTTGTAAAAGTCTTCAAAAGTAATCAATCGCTCTTCGTGTGTTAACAAATGAATCATCAATTTCATGAAAATACGATCATATGGTGAATACTGAGGTTACTGACTAAATGTAACAGCATCCATGCATACTGTTTCGATATTTGGGTTTGAATCTGATCCTTTTCTAAATACATCCAGCACACCTTGTGATGGATCCACTCCTAGAAGCAACAACAAATATGAAAAAAACTTCTAAACTGTGCCCATTAATGAAGAACATGTAACTGATTTCCATACAGGTTAACAGCAGCTTTTGACAGAAACTGAATATTAACATTACGAGCAGTGGAATAAAATGTGTCTGATGAGATAATAAAAGTGCATCATAAAAGAAATAGTGACATTCCATCAGGATAGTCATCGCTTCACATAAGATAAATATGATATCTCAGAAGGAAAGTGATGATGTTTCTAAAGAAATAAAAAGTCAACGGGAAAAAAAGCGGACTTCTATACTTCTCGGTACTTCTCTGTACTTTTCGTACTTCTGAAATACAGAAGTCCACTTTTCCCCTTTTAACAAGGGTGTGGGTGTGGGTCTTATTCTCACACTCACACCCACACCCTCCACAGTCTCGAAATTTTTGACGAAAATTGACTTTTTTTGAGGGGGGAGGCCTTAACAGAACAATTTATTTCTCATAAATAATAATGATCAATTAGATAAATGAATTTAATTTATATTAACAAAATAATTTTTATTTATGAAGAATTTAAATCTATTTTCTAGAAATTAGTCATATTTGATAATCGATTTTTTTTTTCGGAACTATAATTAGTTTTTTGTTTTAGTATGATCAATATTTTCTTTATTAAAAAATTTCTTTTTTTATGAAATAAAAATCTGTTTATTAAAATACATTTCGAACTTGATATAGATAATTAAACGTATTGTTTTCAATAAAAGGATACCCTAGTGAATGTACTGAGCTAAGGGTACCCGAAAAAGTACCCTGCTACTAGTATGTCACAGGAACTTTCGGGTACTGAAGTACCTTAAAGTACTTTTAGGTACCTATAAGGTACTCGACCAAGTACCCTGCTGGAAAGCATCCAGTAAATGGGTACTTTAAGGTACTGATCAAGTACCCAACTGGGTACTATTGTTCAGTAATTTTGGGTACCCTGTTGCCAAACTTGCAGTATGTTGATGATCGAAACTACCCTCTGGCTTTTTTTCATTTTTGTTTCTCTCAAAGCAATTTATGATATTTTCTCGATTTTATTTTATTTTATTTTTCTAATTCTGAAAAGCCAAGCAGGTCAAATTTCGAGATCTGACCGGACGCGACTTGGTCGGATCTCCATCAGACCACTTCAAGGTAATCCTCTCTCAATCTACGATTGAGATCAGCATGTCCTCGACTAGTAAATAGTCAAGAAAAATAATCTAGAAAAAATTAGTATGAAAAAATATTTTTTTCTTATGCTTCCTCGAGTTGCTTATATGAAGCCGTATATGCAAAAGAAAATAGTGAATGAACAGTTGGTACACAGAACGCAACAAATCTAGGGTACCCTGTAGAGCTTTTCCTAGTAAAATTACAGGTGCGGATACTCATACAAGTACTTGTTCAGTAAACATACTGCAATGGGTACCCAATGCAGCACCTACGTCAGTATAATTACTGAAAATTTTCGAAGTACCCATATCGGGTACCCTGCTGAGGCTTTCTCAGTACATGGGTACCCTGAACTCAGTACTTTCTCTAGGGTATGAATGAATATTAAATTAAATTAAAATAAATATATTTCGTTAGAAGATTTATTGTTCATATATGAATTATGTTTGTTATTATTGTTTAATATTAATTAGAAACAAAAGAAATTATTTATTTATTGAATAGTTTAGTAATTTTTCTAAAAAAAGAATCGTGGCTTATCTTATACAGTCAGATATAGTGATATTAATCAGTTCAATTTCTCAAAATCACTGTGTCCATCTTACGTAGATTAAAAAAACAATAGATTATAACTATTTTTTAATTCCATCAAGCAATACAAGATATTTCTTATCAAATAATAACGATCACTTAAATATTAACGGTGTCGACATCTTCCAGGTAACATCTGAGTTTATCAGTGCACTTCATTGTCAGAACCGTGTTTTTAGACACATTGAGAAACCTATGTGCGCAAATAAAATTGAGTGACGTTTCTTATCTGATAGACAACTTTTATTTTTAATAAATTATGTAGAACTAATAGAGAAATACAAAATTAATTTTATCTAATTGAAGAGTGATTAGCACAAAGAATATGAATGACATGTTAACTGACAAAAAAGATTCGTATGTTGACTGACAAAAAAAATTAAATGTTAACTGACAAAGAAGAACAAATTTTAACTGACAAGAAAAAGATACATATGTTGATTGACAAA